TTTTTAAAAAAATGATTAATGAGTGCTCTGTCCACTAAGTATTAAATAATATTAAAATAATACATTGTTTAATACATGGTGGGGGACAAGACATGGTAGTGGGATTAATACATTGTTTAATATAGTGGGGGACAAAACATGCGGTAGTGGGGCAATAAGGGAATTAAATAAAGAAAAGATATGTGGTAGTGAGAACTAATATATTTGTTTAATATAGTGGGGGACAAAACATTAAGTAGTGAGATTTAAAAGGGGGATGAGGAGAAGATGGTGGGATTAATTTAAGTGCTTCAAGTTTGGCTATAAATAAAGAAGAGCTTGACACAAGTTAGGGGGAATTTCTGAACATTAGGAAAAAAGAGAAGACGAATTTTTGAGAGAGGAAAGAGGATTTTCTGAACATTAAGAGAGAGTTGGGGATTTTTCGGAACAGAAAAAACATTCTGAAAATCTAAAGAGAGAGTAGTATACACCCGATATACACTCTGAATACACTGGATATACAGAGTCAAAATTTAAGGGTTAAACATTAACTGGTCTTTCAACCTAAAAAAAAAAGGTTCACTTTGTATCTGCCCGTTGATTGCTATTGGTATTTCTGGACTTTCGTTTGGTTTGTTCCTTGAGTTTGGTTGGTTATTTGTTATTGTTTCATTGGGGTGTTGCTGGAATTCTGCTGGTTTCATTAAACACTATTACTGGGTTATTCTGTTTCCGTTACTGTTGCTGTTGCTGTGTTGTTGCTACTGCTCCTGCTGATCCTTTTCTTCCTTTTCCTTGTGGTCCCTTTCCAGGTACACATTTCTGAGATTAGTTCTGAGGTGACTTCAAACTGCAAAAAATGCTGAATTAAAAGGCTTAACAGATTGCCTATTAAAGTGTGTTAAATTAATGTATTAGAATGTACATTAGGAAATATTGTATATGTTTATGCTCATCTTTATGTAATAATTATGCATGTGTCATATTGGGATTTTCCCCTCATATATAAGGGGGACCGTTGTCATTTTTGTAGGGGATCTGATACATAATATTGAATATACAAGAACATTCTCTTTGCTCCTTAACTTAACATATTCTCTTGATCTCACTACTTATTGCTTATACTTATTATGTTCTATTTATTTTTCTTCATTTATTGCTCATTATTGGTCATAAAGAGCCGCCATCGAATTTATCATAACTGTTAATCCTCCATCGACAGCCCTTAGTCGGGCACCCAACTCGACCTCGAGGCACCGTATACACAAGCTCGAGGCTCCGATTTCTAGCCATTCGGTTTGATTATTATACTATCTACAAGTTATTATCTTATTCTTTCTAATCTTTCACTTAAGATCTATTGCCTAACAACTAACTCACATATTTTTAAAACCATAAAATCAAATCTAATTGTTATTACCATTTTCAAGGTAAACAATATGTTTGTCTACAACTTGTTATAATTATGCTAGTTGATTTGCATTGAAAAATAAAAGTAAGAAGACACTCGAATAAAATAAATAATACCACAACAGTACTTATTAGAAAGACCATTTGGCAATATAATTAATAGCTTTTCTCTTTTCAATGCCTTTGCCATATATACTATAACGGAAATTCTTAAAGTCCTAGCTGACCTTTGTGTTACACATAATTAAATCTTGATTAGCCTTTGATTTATACTAAACGATGTTGATTACTAAGATTTTAAATGCAGGAAACAAGTAATTTGTTTGCAAAGTGATATGTAACGTACGTGACTTTAAGAGGATAGAAACAAATCTAGCACTTTGGCTGCTTTATAAAATTTGTGTCTGTTGTCGTTTATATTAGTTTTTGTTTCTTTCTCTTTTGCGTTGCTTTTATGCCCATTACTTTTATATATATGTGTTCTTTCTGGTTTCACTATAATTTCCATGTAAGCATGTTCTTGTCTCTTTGTATCCCTTTTGCTTTTATTGATTGTCATGTCTTAATCTTGTAAAGCTTATAATTAATTTGTCTTAAATAGGATTTACCTCTTCATGTTTTAAACCATCAACTAAATATGTTATTGGTGTCTTGAGCACTCCTCTCTCCATTACCTCCAAAGGTTTTTGAAAAGAGAGATTTAAAACAAAAGGCTAATGTGTACTTAAGTCAAGATTTATTTGTTTTCTTATGTATAAAAAAATCTATGCATATACTCGTGATCCTTATATATATGAGGAGTGATCACTGTTGGATTGTAAAAGTAGCTAAAAAGAATATTAAAAATATAATCTCAATATGCAAGAAAATAAAGGCAAATAAAATTTAGTTGAAGGTTTACGTAGCTTTTGAGCCATAGATTCAATTGAATACAATATTTTTTTACACAGAACATAACTATATATATGTGAAAATTATATATTATTTTTTTGACAAATATTAGATATTGAACCTAAAGTATTACAAATATATTGTGAGACTACTGTTACAAACTTTAATGGTTGAACCCAAATGTCTTCAATCACAGGCAGAGTCACAGTGCCGATTACGGGTTCGGTCAAATCCAGTAGTTAGAGTGTAGTTGGAGTGCAAGTTCAGCACCGAGTTGAGGGAAACGTTCATGGATGTCAGACTTAAATTACAGGTTATCCGCAAGAGAGGCAGTTTCAAGTATCTTCAGGGGCGAATGCACGCTTACCGAAGCGATGCCACGCGACACTAATTTATCAATTTATTTTATTAAATATATGTATTAATACTGTACGGAAATAGATAAGTCCGAAAAATGACACATCTTGACATAAATTGTGTCTTGGTAAGTTGGTTATGTGCTTGATTTTGCTCTAAGAGGTCAAAGTTTCAAACCTCAACTAGCACATTTTTCTTTTATAAATATTTGAGGGGCCTTTGTGGTTAAAATTTGTGATGAAATAGAATTGAACTCAAGACCTTTTCTTACTTAAGACTCATCACCCAATAGACTAAAACTATTTCTTGTCTAAAAGTATGATAATCAAAGTTAAATTCCACTTCTTCTATAAATTTTGGCACCGCTTACAAAAATTTCTGCATACGCCCCTGAGTACCTTGAGTCAGTTATCTAGGAGAAGGTATGAAAGTCGAGCATTAGGGCCACTGCTATTTTGTCCGTCTACACCCATAGAGTTACTGCCCCCAGATGATGTTAGCCCTTGAATCGAGAGGCATTGCAGAATCTACTTCAAAATAAAAACTAAGTTATTGACTATGTTTAGTTTATGCAAGAACAATCTTTTCAGATAAGTTCACTCAATCCTAGAATCCTGGAAGAAGAACGCAAATCAAAATAACCAGGATAATTGCACGAAAAATCAAAGAAGAAAATACCAAAAAATGATGATGATGACGACGATGCATAAAGGAAAAGCGATCGGTTAGTTTATTGTGCAACTTTTCAACAATCACATAGTTTATACCACATGGAAGTGCCAAAGATTTCGTGTTCTAGTGTTTTGGTGTTTTGCCAATATGCTTCTATCTATTTGAGAGGCATTACTTGTAATATTTAGTAGTGTTCCCTTTGTAGGAGACATATTTTCAGAAACATGAAAAAAAAAGAAGAACAAATAGTAAATACCACCATAGAAAATTACATAAAAACATAAAGTAATTCAAGTGACCGTAATTAGACATCACAAATGGAGCAGCAAATAAGAGAAAATTAATGAAGATAATACCCACACATACCATCATGTCAAAAGTTAATCACTTAAGGTATTATCACTAACTTAACTTCAACTTTGAATAGCATTAATAAATGTTGCGGATCAGAGAGTAAGCTCAGATTTTAATATTTTGTTGCTTCTTCTCTGTGTCTCTTTTTTTTTTTCCTTTTTTCCTTTCTTTCAGAAAAGAAATAATGCAGAGGGAGAGGCAAGAAAATCAATACCTTTGCCCAAGCAATTCTTTTGTACTGATTTGCATGTTGCTGTACAACTCTCCGGTGTCTTTGAACCCAATCATCACCTAATAAATCCTTGGCTTCAGACCTAGAAGGAAACAAATTATAAGCACCAATTTCCAAGAAATTATACTAATACTGAGGCAGTCACCGAGCATGTAACGAACCTGCGAACAGATCTGACCATGTAGTGAATATTGTTCATAAGGAACAAGTTAGTAAGAGCTGGATCCTTATACTGCTTAGATTTCCCATCCAAATTGGTTTGAAGAGCTTGCATTATGCGCATTGTGACGGAAGCTAGTTGAGAATTTGAATCTCCATTTTCAAACTCTTGGAACAATTGTTTCAACGTTGATTGATAGCTGAACAGAAAGAGTCACACAACTTGTCAGGTTTGGTTATATTTAGCTTCAAACAGAAGTATATTTAAATGTTTAAGCAGAGAAGAGGTGTAATAGATGAGGACAAGAACTCCGCAGTTACACATCTAACAAACATTTTAACAAGTAAAAGCTCATTTATCTCCCTTCGTATCAGATAGTTATAAAGCACGAAGCATTGTAGCCGCTAAAACTAAATAGAAGCACAAATAGCCACTCTACCCACAGAAACCATTGTAAATAATACACAAGTAATGTTTGATTCTTGCACTCTCGAAAAATGGCGGATCCCTTTCACACTATTCTTGCTGGTAACTCAACCAGTTGGGAAAATCATATGTAAATTATATCATCTTTTGGTGTATTATTTTTTATAACCTTATTGCCTCACCCTGCATCCCCTTTATGGTTTCTTCCTTATATTTTTTGCAATCACTGCCGGAAACTTCCTACCTAGAGCATTTTTTAATTCCAAAGAAGGAAAAATCAAACTCTCTTTTGGATCTTAAATGTGACATGTTCTTTATTAGCAAACATACAGCGGTTGCTGTTGCTCCATAGCACCCACATCACAGGCATTGCTCCATAGCACCCACATCACAGGCATTCACAGCATTTAGAACAATAGTCCATACCCTCTGGTTTCCTTTTCTCACAACATTACGTCCACTAGCATGCTCCTTACCTCTGAGGCATCAGCCAACTCACATCAAGCCAAAAGCTTGATTCCAACAACTGCTTTACAATCTTGTGATGCAGCAATGTGCGAGTTCCTTAATATTTTATGGTCAATTTTGCATGTAAATTCACAAAGCTAAAAGACTCTTCCACTCAACCCTAGTGCTCTGCTTTTGTGACTAGTGTTTTATAAATATCTAAATGCCTCAGGACCGAAGCTCGTTATTCATACACCTCACTTCTAGATCGATAGATCTGCAACTTGTCTTTCTAATGCATTTATTCGTGAAACCATCAACATCCATGAAACTTTAAATCGAGCATCTTGTACATCCACTCCTTCCGCGGAAAAAACAATCACGAGAACCACAGAATGCAAGACATGGTAGTTTGAACTAGTTTCACACAATTCTCCCAGTTGCAGAAAACTTCTTATTTTAGCGTTCCTGATAGAAAATGACGACTCCTTCAGAAAAACAAACTTATTCAAGTTCTTTTTTCCCAAAAAGTCCCGTTCCGGCACATTAAAGAGATAAGCTGGATAAAGCACACTACAAGTTGTTCCACTAGCTAGTGAAGAAACATGGTATAGTAGTATCAAGAAGCTTCTAATTATATGAATATAAGAAACATCATTTAGTTGAGACAACTTACTCAAACAGGAACTTCACATAATTAATCACATAGCTCGTCAAGGGATGGACAGTTCCATCTGATACGGCGGTTTTGGTTGCATCTTTCTCGACAGCTTCTTCAAAATCACGAAAGGTTTCTTGGGCTGTCTGAGCAAGTCGCTTTGACAAACCAAAGGCAGATTCCCTGATTTCGTTGCAAGATTTACCTCTAAAAAGTGATTCAATCTGCAGAAAATCCACATTTATTTGCTTCAGATCTGCATGTTGACCGGCTTCTGAAATCGGTAATTTTTGAAAAATTGTGGAAAAAAAAATAGCAGTGTTGGGAGATAACTACTTATTTTTTGAAAAATAAAATCAATGGCCAAGTAGTGTCAAAACCCTGCCGAAATTTTGGAAAATGAAAAAAAAAATTGTCTTTTTTAGTTTGATTTATTTGAAAAATAAAAGAAAGGAGTCTTGTTTACAAGTTTAGTTTATGTTGCCCGAACTACGCCGGTTTGATTCTCACAGGATTTGAGATACGTAGGCAGCCCTCATCGGGTCCAACCTCCCCTTTTGCAAAAATAACCAGAAAATGTCAAAAATTTTAATTTTTCGTCATAAAGTTGGGTGATGCTGTTTTTGTCAGAAATAGCCGAATGTTCCCAAAAAGGACGCCGGAAGGCTGACTTTGCATAAACGGCCACCTTTGGTCATGTTTTTAGGATTTTGGTCTGTTAGCTAACGCAGCCTTAAAATCTTCATCCCCGAGGTGCCGAAAGGCCTTGTTGGCAAAACCCGGTCTTTTATTTTAATTCGAAAAATAATAAGAAAAAGAGTCAGTGGTCAAGAATACCGTTTAGATTTTTTTAAGTCGAGCCAGCTTCGGCGGTGTCTTAAACCGTTCTTGCCAAGATAGCCTTAGAGTATCTTTTAGTTGACAAAAGGCTATTTTCTTAAAAGAACGGACAAGTTTGTGAAGTGTCATAAAATAATCTGCCCGGCCTCAAAATTCATGTGAAATTGGGAAGGGGCCATGTTTGCAAAAACAGCCATTTGGTTAAAATCAGCATATAGGGGAAGGAATCTGTCATTTTATTTTTCTTGAGTTTGTATTTCTTTTTATTAGAGTATGTGGGCCGTTTGACTTTCGAGTCTGCTGTTCATTTTTAAGTGATTCCAAAAATGTTTTATTGTTGTTTACCTTTTGTGTGGCAGAAGTACGCCCGGTCTAATTCATGCGGGGACATGATACGTAGGCAATCTACATAAGATTCGACCACCATTAAAAAGAAAAAAAAAAGAAAAAAAAAGGGGAGCACAATTACAAGAAGCTGGATATTTGCACATAACTGAAGCAAATGCAATGATAGAAAGGGTTAACTGCCTAGTTGCATTGCATTCTCAATGTGTGTTTCCTATCTGTTAAAAACCCTAATGATAACAGGTTGCTTCCATTTTGTCCTCTTTCAATAATCCAGAAAGGTGATTGGTTGTGATCCTAAAGTAACGCTTCCCTGCAACAAAGACAAAAGATAATGGCAGAGAGCAATGGAACTGAGTGGGTTGGTACCGATGCCAGAAAGCAGTTGGTTGAACAGGACTACGGGTTGGTAGAAGAGGTAAGAATGTTGAGGCAACATGTGGCAGACATGTATCAGGCATAGATGACTGGGAAAGCACCACCCCCGCCACCGCTTAGCTTCTTGAACTCTGTCCTTACCCAAGTACCTCACACAATAACGGATGATCCCCCATACTCTCCATATCTATCCACTTATAACAGCTTTCCCAGCCACCCGAGTAGCTCCATCGCTCGTCATACAACTATATTCTCCCAACACTACTCCCCTCCCCAATGCCACTTCTCTCCACAGGACTCCCAAAAACATGTTTCACTTTCCCAGTACCCAGCTCCACAAAATGTCTATCCACCCTCACAAGCCTACCGAAAGCCCTCTGGATCAGGTTTCCGGCCCAATCAAGCATTTAGGAATGAGAGGTTGCTGAAAAAAAAGGCTTTCACCCCTGTTGGAGGATCATATGCCAGTTTGTTCCAAAAGTTGAAGAAATTGGACATGCTGAAGCCGATTCAGATAAAAATGCCAAACCCTCTATCAAAGAAGTTTGATTTTTCTCTAAGGTGCGCATATTGCTCAGATGCCCTGGGGCATGACACAGAGAAGTGTTGGAAGCTGAAGAAAGCAATTCAGAAGCTTATTGATACAGGTGACATTGTCATGCAAAATCCAGATGCAATCGACACTCGCCAAAGTCCGTCGCCTAATCGTAATGAGATGCATATGTTGAATATGACTTGTTTTGAAAAGGAATATGAGAACTCTTCTGAGATCCTCGGAGGTCCGCGCGTTGCAGAGTTTTCAGTGCTATCCTAGGTTGATCTTAAGAACAATAAGATGGAAGTTGTTGGAGGTCCCAATAATGTTGATGCCGAATTCAGTGGCTAAGATTCCGAGCTTGGCAATTGGAAAGACGCTCCTTTCTTGGTTGGTCGGGGAGGAGTTTTGGTGGTTCATTTTGTTATCATTTCTGTTGTCCGGGTTATTTGCAGGGTTGTAATCCGGACATTGTCTTGTGTCAAACCTTTTTATCCTTCCATTTTGTCATAGTGTTGTCTAGGATTGTTTTAGGTTTGTTCCAAGGTTGTACCCCAGTTGTTTTTCTTGTTTGGTTATACGAACCATTTCACCGCTTGTCTAATGCAAATTCCAATCTTTTGTTACCTCCAGTCATCTTCTTTGTTTAGTTCTTTTTATCCTTTTGTTTTGTCTTTATTCAACGCCGATTCTAGTAACATGATATGCGCGCACAGTTTAGGCCTAATCTCAAAAGTTAATTATAAAGTCATTGGGGGATGATCGGGACACTTAAGGGAAATAAGAACAACTTGAGATCATTCGAAGCCCGAGCCACGTGAAACTGGGGCAAGTAAAACATAAAGAAAAACCATAAAAGCAAGTTAACCATATTGACAAGGGGGCCGTTCACGGTAACGAAAGTGAGAGTATTGCCTAACGGTGCTTTAAAAATGACAAATGACAAGGCGAATGTGTGGATATGGTTATCAAGTCCGGCACAATCAGAAGATGTGGTGAATGTTTAATTGTGTTGTTTGTGCTTGGCATGTTTTGAAGATTGGAATGACGAATGCATTTTATTCTGCTATCTAAACACTTTATCCTTCGTTAACCCTTTTGAGCCTTATTGGTTTTCTTTAGTACCCCTCGTTCGGAATCAGTAGCAAAGACTAGAAAACACAAGCATGGAAGATAAAGAAAAAGAAAAAGAAAAAAGGAAAAGAAAACAACAGAAACAACAAAACGACAAAAGAGAAAGGAGAAATGAGAAAGAGAAAGAAAAGAAAAGAAAATAATAAGTAAATGGAAAAAAGAAGAAGAAGGAATTGGGAACTACGTTTGACCTGATTCCTCAAAGAAGGATACGTAGGCACCTCACGGCTCGGTCATAGTGTAACATAGTGTGCATAAGGTAACATTGTGCAACAAAAAATCAAAAATCCCCAAGCAAGAAACTGGGGCAAAAGTTGTGTTTGATGTAAAGAAATCTGGTTCCGAAGGTTGTAAACTTTGAAACCGAATTGATTCGTTTTGAGCCGCTAATACCCTTTCTTTCTAGCCCTATCCAAAACCCCACGTTACGGTCCAAAGAAAGACCTTTTGACCAGTCTTCGAAAGATGCCAAGTCATGCAAATGGAAGTCGAGAATAACACTCTGATCCCCGGCAGAAAAGTAATAAAATGAGAGAGTCTTATCGGTGAAAACCTTCACGGGCACCTTGAGGTGGCTATAAGTTGAGAGAAAATCAAAATGAGAGAGGCTTGATAGTGAAGACCCTTTGGGCACTACAAGTCGAAAAAGATTGAGAATCATACAGGAAAGCACCAGACGAAAATTGTGAAAGGCGATTAACGATGGAGGATAGGCCATGTGTGCATGTCATTGCCAATAGAGTCGGTATCCACATCTGATAGGTTTTACTTCGTACTTTTCTTGTTAGGAGTCATCTCTTTCTTTTGCCTTTTACACTGTTCCTTTTACCTTTGTCATTTCCTCTTCTTGAGTCTCTTTGGTCAGAACAAGCGAGAAATGATTTCAAAATTTGCCATCAGCTTTCCAAAGACAAGATCTGACTAGTACATCAAAGGGGTATAAGTCAGGAAAGAACAAGCGCAATGAGCTGGTAATAGTCAACGTGCTTTGAGGTTCGCGCAAAATACCCAAGATTGGTCCATATCAATTCAGGGACAGTGCAACAAAAAGAGGGCCAGGGGGATTGAACCGAGGGTATATTCGATGATGAGATTGACAAAAGGATGGACCAATATCAAGAAGGATATCCCCAGCGGAAATTGAAAGGTTATAAGGCCAAGGTCAGCGAAAAGTCAAGAAAGAACAACGCGGAAAGCAATGGACATAATCGGGAAATTCGTAGGAGATGGGACTGAAAGGTTGGGGCAATGCCAGTTCATGGACAGTACCGCAAAAGAAGATATTGGGACTGCACCGGGAAAAGGTATTTTAGTAACACAGACGATGGAAGGAGTGGTTAATCAATGAACGAACATGCAAGATCTTCAAGTGAAATCGGCTGTCATGAAAATACATGAGGTCAGATAAGGAGACTGGGAAAATGGTTAAGAGGTTTGTAAATAAGGAATCGTCAAGAAGGTCGGAAGGTATCAGCCAAGCTTCAAGATGGTCAGACAACGCATAGATGGAGAATGGTTGATGGCATCCCCAGCAGGAGTATCACAACCAACCACCACATTTTAAACTGACCAAATTATCTTTGATTTGAAGCAGGGACAGGGAATGCTACCGATGACGGAAAGATGCGCCACAAGAAAGATTGTTAAACTGGGGCAGAAAATTTTCGTTCATTTCGAAAATTTTTGGGAAGTCTAACACAAGTTTGGTGAAAAGCGGTATCCCCAGCAGTTTCTTCGGGAGAAGGCAAAACAAGTTTTGAAGAAAGCAATGTCAGGAGGAAGATAACACGAGTTTTAAGGGAGGTAGTCTTCGAAGGAAGAAGATAACAAAACAAAGAAAAAAAAAACAAAAAAACAAAAATAAAGAAAGAAAATTTTTTTTAAGAGAAAAGAGAAAAGATAAAAAAAGAAGACCAGTTTTGCAAAAGGAAATGGTTTGCAGAGGAATGAAACACCAGTCTTGAGGGAAGTAGTCTTTGAAGGAGTAAGATAACATATTTTTGAAAAAATGTTATCCCCAGCAGTCCGCAGTGAAGACAATACAAGTTTTGAGGAAAGTAGTTTTGAAGAAAGATAATTCAACTTAGAAGGAAAATGGTTGTTGAGGTCAGGAGCCCCCCCTGAAGAACAGACTGACGATTTATTTTTCGAAGTTATTGTTGAGGTCAGGAGCCCCGCCTGAAGAACGAAATGACGATTTATTTTTCGAAGTTGTTGTTGAGGTCAGGAGCCCCCCTGAAGAACAGAATGACGATTTATTTTTCGAAGTTGTTGTTGAGATCAGGAGCCCCGCCTGAAGAACGAAATGGCGATTTATTTTTTNAAGTTGTTGTTGAGGTCAGGAGCCCCCCCCTGAAGAACAGAATGACGATTTATTTTTCGAAGTTGTTGTTGAAATCTCGCTCGCCTAAAGAAAGGAATGGCGATTTATTTTTCAAAGTTGTTGAGGTCAGGAGCCCCCCTGAAGAACAGAATGACGATTTATTTTTCGAAG